CCTGAGGCCCAGCAGCTTCCACACCCGCTCGAGCCGCGAACCCTCCGGGCCCCATCGCTGTCGCGGCGCGTCGACTCACGGGGCGGGGCTTAAGGGAGCCCCAGCAGCTTCTGCGGCCTCCGATTGGCCAGGTCCATGCGGCGCGGCCTGGAAATTTGACGTCAAGGGAGTGGGCGGGGCCAGAGCCCGAAGGCGGGGCCAGAGCCCGAAGGCGGGGCCGTGGGCGGAGTCTGAAGCCCGAGGGAGACAGCTGCGGCCGGTTGAATGGACTCGGGCTTTGCCGGAGTCGGAGGACTAGTAATTGCCCTGCTGTGCCCTGCTGACACGCAACGTCGTCCTTGCCTTCTGACTGTAAACCGCAGGCATTTTCATTTTTTAAATATATTTCTTTATTGATTTCAGAAAGAAGGAAGAGGGAGAGAGAGATAGAAACATCCATGATGAGAGAGAATCATGGATCGGCTGCCTCCTGCGAGTCCCCCACTGGGGATCGAGCCCACATCCCGGGCATGTGCCCTTGACCAGAATCGAACCTGGGACCTTTCAGTTCACAGGCCGACGCTCTATCCACTGGGCTAAACCGGCTAGTGTTGGGGTCCAACCCCAATGGGTCCAGGGATCCCCAAAGGTGTGGACGGAGTCGGCGAAGAAGGAATGACACAGAGGCAGCGTTCAGTTGATCATCATGGCGATGTTCTCCCTCCAGGATCTCCAGCGAAGTTCTGGCTAGGATCTCCAGCGAAGTTCTGGTCAGGATCTCCAACCAAGTTCTGGTGCCATGTTCTCTCGCTAGGTTCTCCAGCCAGGTTCTCCATGTTCTCCAGCCAGGTTCAGTCACCAGGTTCTACCCAGGTTCTTTTGCCATGTTCTGTCTAGGTTCTCCAGTGAAGTTCTGTAGCCAGGTACTGTCCAGGATCTTTTGCCATGTTCTCTGGCTAGGTTCTGGTTAGGATCTGATGATGATGTGATGAGGATCTGATGAGGATCTGATGAGGATGTGATGATTATTGTCTTGTTACATCCGTATTTATACCAGCCGATTTTAATCCTGTCAATTTCTATTACAAAGGTTAGGGTGTTTCTTATCTCCATTCCAGGGAGTAAAGATTATGTAGCTTAAGCGTGATTGTTCTTATTTAAAGTGATTAACTACCCGCCTGGCACTTAGTTAAGGGGTTTTATCTCCTCCCTAACTTCAGGGGAAAATCCCTACCTGGGGAAACAACCTTTCTCGGAGAGGTGACCTTGGTTAAAACACATAGCGCTAAGGGGAGCAAACGTATTAAGAACAGTATGCTATATACGCCAGGTCCCTTGAAACATATGCTGTGCAGACGTTTCTTCTCTGCAGCGACTGTGTCAAGCAGCAAGGATGGACCGGCTCCCGGCAAATTCCCCCTTTTTTATTTTTTAAATGATAGCGCAAGAGTCCTCGGACTTGGCTGAGGGAGTAGCTTCCACTTCTTACTTTTCTACCATCTGTTGGGCCTCAGTGGTTAACTTCTTCAGCTGACCCCATGTTGGCACCTCAGTCCCTTGCATAGCCTTCCTTTTCTTCTTTTTTCCGCTTTTCTGTCATCGGGGCAACTCTAAGTCTTTGGAACGATGAGACAAGGAGCTTCTCTGGGTCCATTGTGGTGATGCATGTAATGCATTTACTCAATCCAAGGCAGGCATTAAAAAGAAAAACCCCAAATGCTCTCTTGTATCCATTTTAAGAGTAGGATTGGCGCTTTCCGCTATTACCTGAGTCCTGATCTATCACCCCAGGGAGAGCTTTTCAATCCTGCACTTTTCCGGGGTGGAAAGGCTGCAGTGGGGTTAAGGATAAGGCTCCTTGGGCCTACCTTCTCCCATGCATCTACATTTACCTTTCCGGCACCTTTCCTTCCTCAGAAAAGCATGGACATACTTCTTGTATAAAACATTCCGTCTGACTGGGAGTAACCTTAACTCCTCTGCTAGCAAGCATATGTGTTAAAAGATCAATACAGAGTCTTTTTTCTTTAGACTCAGTATGGCACATCTTCTTAATCTAAAGATCAATACAGAGTCTTCTTTCTTTGGACTCAGTATGGCACATCTTCTCAATCTAAGTTCTGTACTATCCACCTTCTTACCCTACTTATCCTCTATAGGGGGGCTGCAGCACCCTGGTGGAGTCCTATCCGTCCTGAGTGTGGGGGTTCTCAATGGGGGTGGGGGCTTACCTAGGGGAATCCTGTTTCAGGGGTTCCCAAAGGTGTGGACAGAGTCGGCGAAGACTATCCACCCTCTTTCTACGGTGGAGTCCTATCTGTCCCGAGAGTGGGGCTTACCTAAGGGTCCCTGTTCGGGCGCCAATTGTTGGGGTCCAACCCCAACGGGTCCAGGGATCCCCAAAGGTGTGGACGGAGTCGGCGAAGAATGAATGACACAGAGGCAGCGTTCAGTTGATCATCATGGCGATGTTCTCCCTCCAGGATCTCCAGCGAAGTTCTGGCTAGGATCTCCAGCGAAGTTCTGGTCAGGATCTCCAACCAAGTTCTGGTGCCATGTTCTCTCGCTAGGTTCTCCAGCCAGGTTCTCCATGTTCTCCAGCCAGGTTCAGTCACCAGGTTCTTTAGCCAGGTTCTACCCAGGTTCTTTTGCCATGTTCTGTCTAGGTTCTCCAGTGAAGTTCTGTAGCCAGGTACTGTCCAGGATCTTTTGCCATGTTCTCTGGCTAGGTTCTGGTTAGGATCTGATGATGATGTGATGAGGATCTGATGAGGATCTGATGAGGATGTGATGATTATTGTCTTGTTACATCCGTATTTATACCAGCCGATTTTAATCCTGTCAATTTCTATTACAAAGGTTAGGGTGTTTCTTATCTCCATTCCAGGGAGTAAAGATTATGTAGCTTAAGCGTGATTGTTCTTATTTAAAGTGATTAACTACCCGCCTGGCACTTAGTTAAGGGGTTTTATCTCCTCCCTAACTTCAGGGGAAAATCCCTACCTGGGGAAACAACCTTTCTCGGAGAGGTGACCTTGGTTAAAACACATAGCGCTAAGGGGAGCAAACGTATTAAGAACAGTATGCTATATACGCCAGGTCCCTTGAAACATATGCTGTGCAGACGTTTTTTCTCTGCAGCGACTGTGTCAAGCAGCAAGGATGGACCGGCTCCCGGCAGGCTAGGGCTTCATTTTGTTTTTAACTGTTCACAGCGCCTAAAACAGCTGGTAGTGAATAAACAGACGTTGCTGCTGTTGATGAGACTAGAATTAGGACATATAACTTTCTACTCATCGCTCATTACCAAAAATTATCAAGATTCCCTTGCAAATTGGAAATGCCATGAGGAAAGTCTGTATCCTGGACTGGACTGGGCTGGGGTGGGGGGCGGAGGTGTAAAGGACCTTTTGGAAAACGTTTTTAGTAGGTCAGCCATTTAGGTATGTACACTCTCCATATGGACTTGTTTATGCCAATGGATTGCACTGTGGGGTCCACCCTGTGAGCATAAGGAATGCCGAGGTGCAGTTACAGTATTAAATCATGGGATTCGAGAGTTGAGAGATCCCGGGAGGAAAAGTGACTTGCCTGTGGCCATAATGGAACCAGATGCTGTTTCTGAACTCTAGGCCTGGTGACTT